CGTGGGCCTGATCTAGGCCCCCCAGGAGCTCCTGCTGTATCCCGAGAACCGGCCCCGGACGGCCAGCGAGCTGCTCTCCAACAGGTACCGTTGGGCGGCAGTGGGACGCTCAGCCGCTGCTGAGCCAGGCCGTGTAGGCTCAGAGTGAGCCCCGCAGGCCCTCCTACCTGTAGCCATGCAAAGCATGATGGGAAAGGCATGCAAATTAGCAGGCTCTGGCTAGACGTGCACCGGTGCGCATGGCGGCCTCTAGTGGCGGATGTCTGTCTGCGTCGCTGCTCCCCCATCCCCCGTGGCCGGGAGCGCCGTGCAGCCGCCCTAGGCTCGGGGCTCTGCGTGCATGCGGCAGGGAGAGCTGGTTCAGTGTGTGCAGTGGTCTCCTGGGGATGGCACCAGGCCTGCGGCAGGCGGCTGGTGTGCGTGCAGCCCCAGGAGAAGGGGGGCCCTTGGACTTCTGTGGGCTTCTGGAGCCCTGTGGAGCTTGCCCAGGCCAAAGATGTGTGGAGAAAAGGCGGCAGATGCTGGGGCGCGGGGGATCCCTGGGGGAGGTGTTGGTAGGCTCCCTCCCTGACTTTTCCCTCAGCCTGTGCACGAAGAGACCCAGCACCCATGCAAACGGCGCTCGCTCCAGGGGCCGGGGCACAAACCAGGGAGCACAGCATCCCTTGTGCCCTGGGCTTCCCCTTAGCAGCTAGCAGAGCAGTCCCTGGCCCAGCCTCTAGAGGGCGACGCCGGGCGCTCCACGCCCATGCGTCTGCGGCGCAGCCGGGGGTGCAGCCAGAGGTAGGCTCAGCCCGCGCGTGGCCCTGTGCTCCCCAGACAGGCCTACTTCGAGGAGCTGGAGGAGTCGGAACGGTTCTACCAGGCGCAGAACCGCTTCCTCCGGCTGCTGCTGGCCCTCTACCACTTCGTGGCCGCCCATTCCGAGCTGCTGTGCTACTTCATCATCATCCTCAACAACATGGTGTCCGCCTCCGTCATCTCCCTCGTCCTGCCCATCCTGGTCTTCCTGTGGGCCATGCTGTCCATCCCGCGGCCGAGCAAGCGCTTCTGGGTTGTTCCCTCCGGCTGGCCCCTCCCCGGCCTGACCCCCCCCCCCCCGTTGACTCCTCTCCCCTCGGCAGGTGATGGTGGTGCTGAAATACCTCTGCCAGTTCGGGTTCTTCCCCTGGAACAGCTACGCCCCCAAGCCATTCTTCCCCCCGCGCATCCTGGGCCTGGAGAAGACCGACCGCTACATCAAGTACGACCTGCTCCAGCTGATGGCTCTGTTCTTCCACCGCTCCCTTCTGCTGGTAATGTGCTTGAAAGAAGCACCCGGGATCTTTTTCAGGGGATACAGCAACACGTGGCATTTACTGAGCATACGTAGATCAGTCGATACTTTCTCATCTGCAGGTGATGCATTACACCCATGCGCGCACGCACGCACGCACATGCACGCACACACACGCGCACACACGCACGCACACACGCACGCACACGCACACACACGCACACACACTCTCTCTCTCTCTCTTTCTTGCTGTTACCAATAGTTGCTCCCCCTAACTACACTGGCCAGGTGAGTTAGATGGGGGAGGGGTGGAGCCAGGCTTCTGCCAATCTGGATCGATGCTCCCATGTTGACAAGATGTGACGACGCGTCGGGGTCCCCCCCGATCCTGCACCCCCGTAGCACCGAGAACAGGCTCCACCAGCCAGTAGAACAGAGAGGGGTTATTGCTTCTCCAGGATACAGCGCAGCACAGACGGGATGTGGTTACAGGAGTCAGGGTTAGGGGGTCCCATGGGTTAGGGGGTCCATCACCCCCTCAGCACTCAGTGAAGTCTGTTCCCTTCATGTTTCACAGCCAGAAACTGCCTGGCTCCCCGACTCTGCCCTCCAGCCGGGTGTTCGTCTCTGCCTCCCTTCCTTTGTCTCTCCCCTGGGAAGAGCCTTGTTCTCTGCCCAGGCTGGGGCTAGGTGTCTGGGCCAATCCACATGTGGGTGAGTCGGTGGGAATCACACAGCAGGGGGACCCCGGGTTACAGAGCAGACAGCCCCTCACCGCTGCGTCACGCCCCCTAACTGCACTGGCCAGGTGAGTTAGATGGGCGAGGGGTGGAGCCAGGCTTCTGCCCATCCGGATCGATGTTGACAAGACAAAAACCCTGGGTCCCTCTGCAAGATGCCTCCTATTTATCCCTCTCATGCAGCCAGTTAGTCATCACCTCGGCTTTTTTAACGCTGCGTCAGAGAGGGTCCTTCCAAGGGCAGACACTTGCTGCTTGACTCCCAAGGCCCATATGTCCAATCTTCTTTTCCATAAGCTCACTTCACAGGTCTTGCTGTCTTCAGATCTGTCTCCCAGCCCCTCTCCACCCTTGCAGCTGCTGCGGGAGGTGCTCACCTTTCAGTCTCCAGTCACACCTCGTTCATTTCGACAGGGTAATCCACGAAAGGGGACAGATCTAGTCTACTCCCAGCAAAACGACGTTTTTCTTTACTTTCCTGTTCCTTAAAGCCTAAAACACAAAGGGCTTGATACTAAGTGTCTATGGAGAAGATTTGGACACAAGGTTTCTCTTCATACAAGGGATTCTATCAGGCTTAACACACAGATATAAAAGGACGCACAAAGTTTCTCTTAATACAATGTGACATGAGAATGCTACGTGATCATATGGAAATGTTACACAGATGTATCTAGTCAGAGCTAGGGGCGGGTGGCTGGTGTGGCGCTCGGGCCCCCAGGGCACCACGGCCTGAGTGCGGGGAAGCCAGGCCAGGGGAAAGCTTGGTAGTGTGTCCAGCACCTGCCAGCCGGGTTGGGCTCCTGGCCTTCCAGATGGCACCTTTCCCGAAGCTCAGCGTAGGCCCCTCGGGGTGCAGGGCCAGCGGGGACCCAGGTCGCCTCTGCCTGGCAACCCCCCAGGGTGTCATTAGGATAACGAGCCTTGTGGATAAGGGAGAAGCGGTGGATGTCATATACCTAGACTTTAGTAAGGCATTTGATACGGTCTCGCACGATATTCTTATTGATAAACTAGGCAAATATAACTTAGATAGGGCCACGATAAGGTGGGTGCATAATTGGCTGGATAACCGTAGTCAGAGAGTTGTTGTTAACGGTGCTAAACCCCCTGGAAAGGGATAACAAGGGGAGTTCCGCAAGGGTCTGTTTTGGGACCCGTACTATTCAATATCTTCATCAATGATGTAGATATTGGGATAGAGAGTACGCTTATTAAGTTTGCAGATGATACCAAACTGGGTGGGGTTGCAACTTCTTTGGAGGATAGGGACATAATTCAAAACGACCTTAGCAAGTTAGAGAAATGGTCAGAGGTAAACAGGATGAGGTTTAATAAAGAGAAATGCAAAGTGCTCCACTTAGGAAGGAACAATCAGTTCCATACATACAAGATGGGAAGCGACTGTCTAGGAAGGAGCATGGCGGAAAGGGATCTAGGGGTCATAGTGGACCACAAGTTGAATATGAGTCAACAGTGTGATGCTGTTGCAAAAAAAGCAAATATGATTCTAGGTTGTATCAACAGGTGTGTTGTAAGCAAAACTCGTGAAGTCATTCTGCCGCTCTACTCTGCACTAGTTAGGCCTCAGCTGGAGTACTGTGTCCAGTTCTGGGCGCCACATTTCAAGAAAGATGTGGAGAAATTGGAAAGGGTACAGAGAAGAGCAACAAGAATGATTAAAGGTTTAGAGAACATGACCTATGAAGCCAGGCTTCATGAACTGGGCTTGTTTAGTTTGGAAAAAAGAAGATTAAGGGGGGACATGATAGCGGTTTTCAAATATCTAAAAGGGTGTCACAAGGAGGAAGGAGAAAATTTGTTCCTCTTGGTTTCTGAGGACAGGACAAGGAGTAATGGGCTTAAAGTGCAGCAGGGGAGGTTTAGATTGGACATTAGGAAAAAATTCCTAACTGTCAGGGTGGTCAAATATTGGAATAAATTGCCAAGGGAGGTGGTGGAATCTCCCTCTCTGGAGATATTTAAGAACAGGTTAGATAGACATCTGTCAGGGATGGTGTAGACAGAGCTTGGTCCTGCCTTGAGGGCAGGGATGGTGTAGACGGAGCTTGGTCCTGCCTTGAGGGCGGGGGGCTGGACTCGATGACCTCTCGAGGTCCCTTCCAGTCCTATTATTCTATGGAGGGGGCTTGGCTGCGGAGCCGGCCAGGTGCCACAGTGAGGGATCCCACGCTGGACACGCCGTGGCCGCGGTGCCCTGACCCCCGGCTGACCGGGCCCTCTCTCCCTGCAGTGTTATGGCCTGTGGGATAACAAGGAGGACGCCTTTGCCAAGTGGAAGCGCGAGGCCGAGCGGGCGGCGGAGGAGAAGCATGAGGCACCGGAGCAGCTGGCCAGGCCCGACAGGGGGGACGGGGCGGAGGTGGGAGCCCCCGCCCCTGGAAGAGGGGGCTGGGGAGGGGGAGAAGGGGACCCACCTGCGCTTCCGGAAGAAGAAGGAGAAGAGGCGGTGGAGCAAGAAGTGGAAGGCGGTGGAAGTGGCAGGTATGGGGGGGTGAGAGCACACTCCACACTGGGGGAGCAAAGGACCCAGGCTGGGGTGCTGGGCCATTCTGCTGGGTTCCCCCGCCAGCCCGGCACTGCAGGGACCCGCTGCCAGATCAGGCTGGGATGCCGGCCATGCCGCTCTGCTTGGCTCCCCCTCCCCCGTGCTTGCTGTCCCCAGGCCGGCCACGTGGGGCTAAGCCTGGATTTCTGACCCACAGAGGAGGAGGCAGAGGTGGAAGTGGAGGCGGAGGCGGAGATGGAGACGGAGACGGAGGCAGAGAAGAAGCAGAGCCCATCCCGGGAGAAGCTAAAGGCAGCTGGGCTCAGAGTCAAACTCTTCTTCCTCACTGTGTAAGTGAGCCCGGCCTCGGAGCCCCCCCGCACCACCCGAGTGTGGGCGCAGCCTGACCCCTGCCCCTGCCGCTCCCGCCCAGTTGTCAGGTCCGGGAGGCGAGCGCTGCCCTCTGCCAGATCCAAACATTTGATTTGCTTGATGGCTGGGACCCCCTCCTGCCTGGGATGCTGAGGGGGTGGAGACCTGCCCCCCCTCCTGCCTGGGGTGTCTGGGAGATGCTTTGTGAGTGGGGCTCTGCTGCCTGGGGCTCCCCAGGCCCTACCCCCCCCGCTCCCTGGGGGTGCCCAGGCCCTGCCCCCCCGCTCCCTGGGGCTGCCCGGCCGCCCCGCCCAGCCAGCCTGAGTTTTTCAACCACTCTCAGGGCAC